TAGGATCAACAGCAGGATTAAAACAACCAGCAAATACGACTTCAGCTGCTGGTAATGCACAAGATAATGCTTTAAATCAAGCGAATACTAATGCATGGACACAATACTGGTAAGTTTCATAATAAATCATAATTATTTTGTCAATTGATACTGTGGTCGAAAAATGTATCTAAATTTTAATTCTTTAGTCTTATAGTTTGACTACAAATAGAGCATGTTAAACTATGATCACAAGGGCTTAATCGACCTTCATACAGAGGAGCTAGAAGGTTAAAATAGAGTATTTTTTTTTAGACGAGCATATCTCAATATGAAAAAAAAATCTCATGACATTAGATCTCTCATTCGACAGTTCAGCGCTGCTTCTATCACCAATAAAAATGCTAAGTCTAATAGTTTTAGTTTGCCTGATTTATGAAGTAATCTTTGGATGATCTCCATATGAGAGTTGATGATTTCAGGATCGCAGCCATCAATGGAGAAGAGGGTCGTGCAGAGACTGTCATAGACAATGGAGGCTTTTTTTTTCGCCTAAAGATTACAGCGGATTGAAGTATTCGATCTGTAACACAAGATAGATATGCGAATTTTTATTTGTTAATAAGGAAATGGAGGTTAATGCATTTAAATAGTGGAAAACTAGGAAAGTATCAAGAAAGTCTTGTCTGGGTCCTCTGAAAAAAAATCAGTGTTTTTTTCATAAGCTCTTGGCATCAAGATCTATCGAACTTGGGTTGCTACCTACAAACAGAGTTTGCCAAGCTCTATTTATAGTCAAAATATCAGACAAAAGGATTGAAGTTTATATACTTTTTACCCAATATCGATACTTCTTGTGACTACTGTATCTGTAAAAATAAAATATTAGGATGCAATGTCAAGCGTATATGCAGCAACAACAACAGCAGCAATCTCAAGTTCCATCAGCAACAACTTCAGCAACAATAGCAGCACCATCTCAGCTTTATCCACAAACATCGGGTAAACAACAACAAACGCCATCTAGTTCAACATCAAATACAAGTGCATCATCTGGTGCTCCTTCAGCATCGAATTGGCAAACATGGTTCAATCCAAAATGATGAAAACAATATATTTTATATTGTTTTTCTTATTCTTTTTTTTTTCATGAGATTGATGAAAAGACAATTAAACTCATCAAAAATTTCTTGTTTCATCTGTATAAATGAAAAAAATATAAAATAAACTAAAAAAAACCAAATGTTTCTTCTCTTTGTTTTTCGACACTAGTGGTTTGTGCCTAATTGTATTGTTGTCATTATTTGTTTGTTTTTTTTGTTTTTTTCTTTCTTTTCTACACATACATTCGTGCACTTCTTCTTTTTTTGTTTGTCTCCTATATATATAAATAAGTCGAAAGAAACATATAACGGATGTGTTTAATGGTGATAATTAACAAATATGTTTATATTTGGTTTTCTTTTTTTTTTTGCAGAATTTCTTTTTTTGTATTGTTATTAGTATGGATATTGAACCTATTATTATTCCAATTGAAGAACATAATATAGAAATTCAACAACAAGAAGATGATATAGAAAGTGATGGTTATGATCAAGTATTTCAATCGAATGAATTTTGTCGTTGGAGGAAAAATTCTCCTTATTTATATAATGTGCTTTTTTATGAATTACTTGCATGTCCATCACCAACTGTTCAATGGCTTGATCAACATACAATTAAAGGTGATCCTAAATGTGATTATTATCGTTTAATTATTGGTACACAAGGTGGACGTACACCAACTGATTCTCGTAATGAATTAATGGGTATATAAAGAAAAAAAAAAAGAAAAAAGATTTATTCAATTATTATTCGATTCATTTTTTCTAGTTATTGAAGTTCGTCTTCCTATGTTAGAATACGATTTTTCTAAACACCCCGATCAAGGTTTTGATGAAGTAACTGGTGAACATGGTGGATATGAAATGGGTATTCGAGGATCAAGTATAAATTTATTTATTTTTTTTTTTTCGTATAAAAATTTTTCTTATTAATTTTTTTAAATATATTCTTAGTGCATCCATATGTACCAATGTATCATATTGGTGATGTAAATAAAGCACGTGCTATGCCTCAAAATACATTTAAAATTGCAAGTTTTTCATCGATTAATGACATTTTCCTATTTGATTATAGTAAACATCCAAGTAAATTAAATCCAGATGGTATATGTCGACCACAAGCTATTTTACGTGGACATACAGATGAAGGTTTTGCTTTATCATGGCATCCAATGCAACAAGGTTTATTGTTAAGTAGTGCTCAAGATGGAAAAATGTGTGTATGGAATTTAGAAAAAATGTCTATTAATTCAACAACAACAACAGTTCATAATGGTATTGAATGTAATACAATAATTGAACCAGTTGAAATAATTGATTCTGAAAGAACACTTGTTGATGCTATTCAATGGCATCCAAAGTATGAAAATATGTTTACTCTAATAGATGTTCCAGAATAAATTGCATTAAATCTTGGTACCTTTATTCGTATACTTAAGTATTAAAAGTTTTCTTTATATGCTAAAAGATTGAGAGCTTCAAACGAGTTTAACCTTGTATATACCAAAGAACAGGTTTGTTAAGCAAGGAAGTAAACCTTTTCTCAAAATGTAGTTACTTCCAATGTCAAAAATTAATTTCCGTTCGAGTTAGATCTCATTCTGGCTGCACGCGGATGACTCAAAACTCAGTATTATCGATCCCCTATAGCGTTATGCAATACAGTATTTATATAGAAAGTTTTCATCTCGTCGTCAACTCTTTTTCAATTTGAATTATATATCAAATGAAGACTCTTTCTTTACTTGATCGAATAGCATATAGGAATATGACAAAATATTCTCCTTTTCTTTATTTCTTTTGACGATATTCTTCAGTCATATATACAGTATGAGGATATTCATGACAAAATCTCCGTCCTGTAGTGCTATGAAAGCAGTGATTCACTTTAAATTAAATTCTATTCGATAGATCTTTTCAAGTTCTACAAAAAAAATGGTACTATTACCCCGAGCTTTATTTGTGGTTAAGATATTTCACTCAAATGCACAATGTTCGAGAGTGCCAAAAATTGCTCTTTTCTTCTGATGTTTTTACTTGAATAGTTAGATTTTCTATCAAAACAAATGATATATTGGAAATCAGCATAAAAAACAGAGTCGATCTATGTATGTCACAAAATGGTCCATCAACTTTCATTTTCCTTCACAAATTCAGCCATGATCCTCTCAGGATTAAGTCGAAAAATAGAGTCTGTCAAAATATCTTTTTTTTATTACTGATTCATTTATCATTTTGGATTTTTCGAAATTTACAACTTACTTTTTCCGGATAAACTGATGTTTTGGTTGACTTTATTCTTCGACGGAATCCTGAGGGATCACGGCAGAATTTTTGGATGAAAGTCAAAGTTGCTGAATGATTTTGTGACACATATAGATCGACTCAGATTTTTATGCCGATTCCTAATATATCATTGGTTTTGATAGAAAATCTGATTATTCTGACCGAAATTCATCAAATATAAGTCCAAAAGATCGATAATGTCTAATTTTGAGTCAACCGCGTACAACCGGAATGAAGTCTAATTCGAACGGCAATTGACTTCTGATATTCAAATTGACTATTGAAGAAAGAATAAACTCAATTTCGAGAGGAGATCAATTTCATCTCTTAACGACCTCTCTTCTTTACAAGATTCACATCTACTCAGTCGTTCAACTGGGATTTCCTATTCTCTGTTAACGCTTATTGACTTATGAGTGTATTTTGGAAGATCATGTTTTCAAAAATGCTGACTTACTCTATGAAAATATTTTAAGTTATTTTGAATTAGAGAATAATGATGGCATAGGTCTACCAGAAAAAGAATTTGTTCTTAGGCTTTTGCTTTTCTTTACTATGAAACTATTGCTCCTAAATATTTCTTCTCAAATTTTGACACATACATTCAAGGATGCAGAATTTTAAAGAGAATTTCGTGAAATAGTTAAAAATTCTCCGTATTAAAAAATTGTCATAAATTTTTTTTTCGTTTCCTTGACCATTGCAATTGGACGACTAAGTATCTTTTGGAATAAGAGAGAATTTTTTTTCATGATTAAGAAACGAGATAAAAATGTATTGAGATTTAGTGCAATTTTTCCTAGGACACCTAGTATATCTATGACAAAAGAAAAACAGTTGATTTGTTTCTTTTAGTCATCCAGCTGTGTTTGGTGCAGCTGCTGCTTCAGGTACTTTACTTATAACTGATCTTCGTGCATCATCAGGTACAGCTGTACTTGTGGAACCATTAATTTCATCAACATCAACATCATCATTATCTTCAAAAACTCTACAATTTCGTGTTAAAGTTCATTCAGATGATTGTAATTGTTTAGCTTTTCATCCAGTTAATGAATATGCTATATTAACTGGTTCAGATGATACAACAGTTGCTCTATGGGATATGCGAAATTTATCTAAAGAAGTTCGACGTTTTGAACAACGTCATCGTGATGGTGTACTTGAAGTATCATGGAGTCCATTAGCTCCAAGTATATTTGCATCAAGTAGTGCTGATCAACATGTATTTGTATGGGATCTTAAATCAAATGATGAAATTATTTTTGATCATAAAGGTCATGATTCACGTATACCTGATATAAGTTGGCATCCAACACGACCCATGATTGCATCTGTTGCTGAAGATTCATCATTTCAAATTTGGGAAGCAAATATTGTTGAAAGTCTTATTAATAGTACTTAAAAATCAGATATATCTGTATTTGTCTTTCTGTTTATTTTTTCTTTTTTGTATATTCATATATAACTTAAATGATGACTGTTCAAAAACCGGTCTTGATATTTGATTGTTAAGTAACAAGATTGTATTTGTTCTACTAGTCAATATATATATATGTATGTATGTTCTCTTTTGAATAATATGTGAGAAAATATTATTTGAAATGTTGATTCTTTTTAAAAAAAAATATTTCTATGAATATGCAGATAACAATATTTATTTCATTATAATCTTTTGATCTTAAATTCGGATTGAGGAATGGTTTATGTAATCATTTTTTCTGAAAGGAATATTTCTTATTTTATTATCATATTTGAATGTTTGCTAGAAGACATAATAAGCTATAGAATGGTATAATGTGACACACGAATCATTTGAAAAAAAATATCTGTGCAAAGAAAAGTGTGATATAGACTTGTCAAATTTATATATTTAACATAGATGACAACAGATTTATATCAAAAAGTAACATCAGTAATGTCTATCAAGTACTCTAGTCAATGAGGTGCATGGACTGTGC